AGCTGGAATAACACGCCTCCTACTCCTATTTTGGATGCATCACATTGGATCACGAATTCTTTACTAAAATCGGGTTGTGTCAAGACAGGCGCTGAGCAGAGTGCAACTTTAAGTTTACCAAATGCTTCGACTGCCTCAGGAGTTAGCTTAAATGGGCCAGGTGACTTTCGAAGGCAATCTGTCATTGGACCGGCCAAATCTGCAAAGCTGGTAATAAACGACCTGTACCAATTTGCCATTCCTATAAACCTGCGAACCTGACGAGGAGACTTGGGAATCGGAAAATCATTTATGGCTTCTATTTTGCCTGGGTCTACTTTCCATTCCCTATCAAGTACCCGAGATACCGAATTTCCTTCAGGCAGAACTTGCTCTTCTTTACGTTGATAGTGAGTCCCGCATCCCGCAAGCAGGTAGCAGGTAGACAAAGACGTTCTCCCGTAGTCGTGAAGGGATAGCCTTATCCATCAGCCGACTCATTGTTTTTAGTCCGTTGCACAGGCCAAAGGGCATTACTTTAAAGTTGTGAAATGGCTTTCCGGGAACCGCAAATGCCGTCTTTTCTTTAGACGATTCCATTTATTTGATTTGGAAGAAAGCATCTTTCAAATCAATACCACTTATAAAGTATGTATCCTGTAACCTGCTCAACAGCCCATAAATATGGGGCAACGGATACGAGTCCTTCTTGGTGACCGCGTTTACCTTCCTGGAATCTATGCACAGCCTGACTTTGTCTGGTTTCCGGACTAGTACCACTGGACTACACCACGGTGAGCTGATGGAAGTTTGGCTCATCTTCATTTGGAAAGTTTAAACACGAAACGATTGGAAATACATCGGGTGCTAACGCAAATGCCTTCCAGAAATCAACTCCAAGGTATGCTACTTGGATTAATGACGGTACAAGATAAAAGCGAATAGTCCTCGTAATATTTTTAAAAGTGACCGGTAAAGATATCGAGCCGAGTATTTTCTGCTGATTTCCACCAGCCGTATAAACAAACACGTGCAACGAATGATATTCTAAATTTTTTCTTTTTAGGAAACCTTCGCATCCGTTTCCAAGAATGGAAACGTTTGCTCCGGAATCCAACAAACCCACTACGAAACTATCGTATATTTTAATCCTCGCTAGTGGTCTCTCATCTGGTGTTATCAGAACTTTAGTACTTTGCAGAAGTTTACGCATATTTACTCGGCTAGAATATCTTTTCCTACACTGAAGTATATTTTCCGAAACCACAAGTTTGGGTTCTTCTTCGAAAATATTCGCCCTTATCGGTTCATAATCCTTTTCTCTTTGCTCTAAACTAACTAGGAATTGAGTCTGGCATGCGACATCCCTACGTGAAGGCCTAAGAATTCGAACCTGCAGAGGATTGGCTGTAGAAGAAAACATACACTCGGAATCAGAACTATCGGAACTATCTGGGAAGGTTATGATGACCCGTGGTGAAACCCTCGAGGGACTGGTATTACTCTCCGAACTACTGACATCTCCATGCAAACGAACGGTTCTGGCTGGAATTGGAGGCTGCTGCTCCTGTACTCCCTGCTTCGGGGGCTAGGGTGCCGAACGAGAATCCCCGATTGCCTTCTCGCTCGGGTTCCGGTTTCCCTGTCTCCGATGATCTCTGGGGCATCTTGGAGTGACCACCCCCTTCTGTCCACACTTGAAGCAGAACACGTTCTGAATAGCTTCCTCGCAATAGATGTATGAGTGTCCCATCTTGTCACAGTTCCAGCACTTTATTCCTGAAAAGTCCGGTTTCCTAGTCCTCTGGAAATTTAGCGCTTCCACTTGCGGATCCACTTCTCCATCCATTCCTCCTGTCCATTCATCCGGAGTAATAGCCATGGTTTCGTTGAGATGCCGTCCTGAATAGTTCGGTACCAAGCTCCTGGTTTCCTTCAGGATCTTTTCGCCTTTCCTAGCAACGTCACGTAGGTCATGTAGGGTCTGCGCACCAGCATTGAAAAGCATCAACTTCAGCCTGCTGTTAACGTTCCTCTTCAATATGTCCATCAACAGGTTCTCCGACATCGGCTCCTTTAGTCTCGCGTTCAAGGCTAATATATCAGTATGAAACGTATTATACGATTCATTAGCCTTCTGACGACGCATTGAGATCTCCATCATGATCTCATGGTCACTTTTTAAGGCGCCGAATTCCCGCCTGATAGAGTAGCACAAGAAGGGATAAGTCGCATCTGGATTCTGCTTAGTGAACAACCAATACCATTCCTCAGATCGCCCTGACAAAAATAGGTGGAAGCTTGCCATCAACTGCTCATCTGTACATTGCGGGCGCTCACACAACGTATTTAGTTTGAAAATACCTAGTTTGAGGATACCTTCCAATCCTGTGGCTTAATAACAATGTTGGTGGTAAAATTTAGTCGACTATTCAAAGTGGCTTGTGTCGGATTGCGTCCGATAGAAGCAAAGTCCCTAGGGCCTTTGGGTGCAGTTTGAGATGCAGTTACCACTGCACTTAATGCGTTCATATTTTCCCGCATTGTTCTCATTTCAGCTCTCATTTCTTCTTGCGAAGTACGTAAGACCTGATGAAGCACTCCTACCCACGAATCTCCACCGGGCGCTCCGCCATTAGAACGTCTACTTCTATCTTCTGCAATACCTTCACTAAAGCCGGTATTCCCTGGCAAAGACCTATCATTTTCCTGTCTTCCCGAAAGCATAGTCATGGAGGTAGCGGAAACATTCGGGACCGAAGTCCCAGGTGGTGAGGTGTCAAGTAAATTTGAACTTTTACGGCTATCAACTTTAAGTCCCGGAGCGGGATTGTTCATCGGAATTGGAGGCGGAACTCCTCCCGTATGGTCAGCAATAGGTGAATTCATCACCAGAGGATTAGTTGCTGGCATAGCGGGACTGGTATTCCTCCCGGCCCCTCTTGACTTTGTGCCGCTACCTCTAACTGAAGCACTGCGTGTTTGCCTAAGCTGCTGTTCCATCTACCGAGTGTTCAGTGGTGAGACAAATGCAATTAGGAATAGCAATAAACGTGACGCTTAAGGTCAAATCAAATCCGAATTAAAAGTCTACAATAGGTGGTTAAGGCTTGGCTCCCCCAGAGCTCAACCCAAAATCGAAAATCCGAGAAAATTTGTTTAGTTAAATTAAGCTTGCTTGATAGCATAAGCCTGAATGAACGTCCGAGAGAAAAAATAAATAAAAAAAAGATCACAAGATTTAACCGAGTGGCGCGATACTGCCGTGCCTGATAGCGGAAATTCAAAAAAAATCTAAAATATCTAAATGTATTCAATCCGCGTATTGAATATGAATATACGCGCGAAAAAGCAAAAAAAAATCAATCAAAATATAGTTAGTAAATAAACATGTGAAATTGGCTAATTACATATACGTGGTTATATACGTGTATTTATAAGATCGGTATACTTTGTTTATAAATAGGAAATATATATTTATCAAAGTCAATGGGAATGCTGACCCCCCTTGACATTAGGAAGGCACAATGTAGTCTGCGTGGAAAATTAAGGTACAAAGAAAACAAACACAAAAGTCCCTATTTGGTCCAGCACACCCAACCGCAGTGCAAAGCCGGCATAATGGAATGCCCTTCCAGACTTGAAGGGTGAACTGGACTTCGCGTACAAGTCTGCTGAGCTATCTTTCGGTTTCAGTGCACCCCACCGCAATGCAGCAAGGGGCAGTCAACGCATGCCCCCCTGAGACATGTAGGGTGACTGAGACCCCGATAGTCAGCATTGTTTTTAGTCCCAGCCCACTCCATCGCAATACGAAGGCGCTCAGGAGCGCCAGCGCAGACCTATGGAGTGAGCTGGGGTCCGAAAAAAAATTTAATTATCACTTTTTTCCCCAAAAAAAAAACACGAGGTGAAAATAAAAAATATTCGGCAGAAAAAAAAACTAAAAGAAAAACCTATTTATACTAAACCCCACTTAGCGGACTATTTTTCCCCAATTCCCTTGCCGACATATCGGACCACTGAACAAGGTTGGGGAAAATTTTAAAAAGTCAACTTTTTAAAATCTAAGTGCGTTTAGCACCTCCTCACCGGGTGAATACAAAACTCCGGAGGGCGTGACGTGAAGTCTTGGAGAAGCCTCCGGTTGCTGACCAAGAGGACCAATCCGAACCAGCACATTCAGCTCCACTCATCCCGCCACAACGCAGCAAGGGGCAGCAATCACATGCCCCCCTGGGACTTGCGGGATGGTGAAGCCTAATGTGCCAGTCAGGACCAGTCAACCTGACCAGACCTCAGGCTACTTCGTTGGGCGCCATCTGTTATGGTACGCATACTTTGGGAGCAGCAGTGAGTGCAGTCGGCATGACACAATGGGGTGCACTGTGGCTAGTCATGTCGGCTGCGCGGGGTTCTTGCCTCACTACTGTTCCCTGCGCCATAGCAGAGAAAAGTCATGCTTTGTCAAACGTCTTAACGGACGGACACATAGCAAAAAAGAATTCAAAAAAAATCCGTTAAAACAAAAAAAGCTGAAAAAGAACGTTAAAATATAAAACAAGCTGAAAATCAAAAGAAAACGAAATACCAATCTAAGCAAAAACAAAAAGAACCTAAGGCCGAATTTAAGGGCGCCACTGGTGGAGTTGTGACGCCCGGTGCTGGCCCACCCTCATCCATGGCTACCGTCGCACCCTAATGTCGGTAGCCCTATTATAAAAGCCCTAATGTGCCTTCCTAAATAAACGAAGTCAGCATTCCAATTTTATGACTACAAATTTATTCAAAGTTCATTTCTTAAATCTAATTCCTTAGACTAATTAATCTAAGGCTAAGTCCTAACTAACAAAAGGGTCAGTATTCTTAAACAGCTAAGTATTTGGTATCTTAAGTCTAGGGTAAGTATCTCAATCGTAAAACTATAATTAAGGTAAGTATTAGTGTAGGTAATTGTGGGCAAGTAGCCTAATCCATTTAAATTTAGGCTAAGTTAAGGTATAGGAGTATATACGGTAAGTATGTCCGGAAGATACGTCAGGTAAGTATATCAGGTAAGTGAAGAGTAACTAAAGTAGGGTATAGTTAGTGTAAGTCTGGCTGGTGTATTTAAGGTAAGTCAGGCAAATTAAACAGGTAAGTAGGTCTGGTAGGTAACTTTATTGTAAGTAAGTTAAGGTAAACTAAGGTAGCCTAGTTGAGTTTAACTTACAACTCTCTTCTATTTCTGTAATTATTTGTTCAATTCCATTTTAGGTGTTTGATTCTTTCCTTTTAGGTTTATTATTATTATAAGTTCTTTGTTATATAGTGACAATTTTCTTATTTTATGCTAATTTAGTTATTTATTTAAAATTATTTTAGTTGATTTTTGTTAAATTTATATTTTAAAAGTATTGATTTAATTTAAGTTGATTTAATTTCGTTTTATTTAACTTAATTTAATTTTGAGTTAGTGCATTGGAATTTGTCAATATATTACTTCTTTTATTTGTTATTTATTTAATTTTTTTGTTTCTGTAACGTGATCTAATTTCCGTTTTGGTTTGTTTGTTTCACTTAAGCCTAAGTTTTATTTCCCCCTAAGCACATAGGTATATGTATATATGTATGTGCATATATGTATATATGCGTATGTGTGTACATATGGGAACAAAATTTACA